TTGCTTTCTACAAGTACCCAAAAGGAGGTTGTAGCAAGGGGGGTGTTGGTCTCTTGTCCCAAGTAACAAGAGGAAATGGCCTCAGGTTGTGCCAGGGGGCATTTAAATTGGGTATTAGGTGCAATTTCTTCTCTGAGAGGGTTGCAAAGCACTGGAACAGGTTGCCTATAGGGAAAGGGTTGTGTCGCCATTCCTGGATGTATTTAAAAGATGTACAGGAGTGATGCTTAGGGAGATGGTTTAGGGGTGGACTAGTCAGCGTGCCAGATTAGCAGTTGAACTTGATGATCTTAAAGGTCTTTTCCAACCCAAACAATTCCGTGATCATGTGTTCACTCCAAATCCAAATCTGGATTCACACATACCAAATTTGTATACAATCTTATAATTGTCTAAACCAGCTGTTTTTGTGTATGTATATTAATAGTTCTTAACAGATTCATCTGTGCATTATTGTATTAGATAAGGGGTCTACTAAACGTCTCAAAAATAAAAATAAGAGGCAAACAGGCTTTGCTACACATTCTTTATAGTTCTGTAATTCTCAGTTGTGAGCTGTGAGTATCATAATAAAACCACTAGAACTAGATGATCTTTAAGGTGCCTTCCAACCCAAGATATCATATGATATATGAAGCAGTGATACTGTTTTATTTTAATTTAATTTGTGGATATATAAGTTATAACTATATAGGAAGAGAAGCACATTTTAAACAAAATCTGTGTTTAATTTCAAGCCTTAAAATTGATTGTTGATCTGCCAGTAAATTTTATTTTGCATCCAACATATCAGATTTCAAATGGTGTAACAACATGATGTATATTTTATGTCAATTTAATGAAGAGGTAACTATTTCCATACATGTTAAAATACATGCTGTAAGTACTGCAAGACTTGCTGTAATGATAACTTCAAGAAGAAAAAAAAGAATTGTTGAAACCATCAATAATATTTCTTATTTTGTAGAACTGATGTTTCAGCACATATGAAAAATATTTTATTGTGGTTTTACTTTAAAAACACACAAAGTGGCATGTGCATTTTTTAAGCTGAAAAATTAAAATGCATATATATTTATATAAAGTTCTATTTTCTATTTAATATAAGACAATGCAAAGTTATTTATTTTTTTAAATCCTGGTCATATTAAATGTCATATGCCAACCATTATACATGTAAGATAAGTGAATGATGAATTACTATGTTATGTATAAACGTAGTTTGTCTGGAGGAGAAGCACTTCTCAGAAGGAGGCTGCTAGTCAGGTTAGCTTCTTGCATTTATGTAAAATAATAAGAAGTCAAGTTTTTCTCTTTAAACACCTGTTACAAAATTTTTACAATACAAAGCAAAGTAAATCTCAAAAGTCTAAGAGTCTTAAGAGCACAAGCTTCATAAAAGGACAGCTGTTAGTCCTTTTGAGCTAGAGAATATTCTGTGTAGTTTTGGAATAATCTTATGGATTTTTTAAAAAAATAATTTAGACTTTGAAAATATGTCGGAGGGAATAAAATATTGTATCAATTTTTCAAATATTTTCCTAGAGAAATCAGATTATCCACTCATTTCAAAGTAGATTAAAATATGTTCTTAAAGCAAGACAGATTTCATTTTCTTCTGAAGTCAAGATGATAACGATGATTAAAAAAAGACTAAAAAAACTGTAGGAGTCTTCCTTTAGGGTACTATATGTCACAGATGTAAGAAATTTACCATTGTGTTTAACCAGTTTTCTGTGGGGAAATTCTGTTGATATCTACTGTCACTAGAAATTTAAGAAGAAATTCTCAATGAAACTTTATAGATTAGCAGAAGTGTTTTGTCTAATGTCAGTTACTAATCTGAAACTTTATGAAGTATTTTTCTCACATTCCTTTTGGATGTATTTTATCACTTTGGATTCTGTTTAAGAGCATGTTAAATTTGAAGACTTTTAAACTGTATATATCTTACTGTTCTGTTTACATATAAGAAATAGGCTGCAAAAGTTCTGTTAGATCTTTCTAGATCTACTTGTTTCATATTAGCAAACACTGAGTTTTTCAATATTCTCTATTTCAGTATAATGTGCACAATTTAGTGTCAAAACTTCCATTTGAAAGGGATGGGTTTGGGCAGCATAGTTTGGATCTGGATGGGAGTCAAAGCTTCCCTGGAATTCTGAGGCATGTGAGAGGTGGATACTGTAGTCTGTTTTACTAGGTGCTCTAAGTTGTAGCTTCCTCATTAGCATCATTTGGCACTGCTCATGTGTGCCAGCTTCTGTGGCAGCTACATGGTAGCTCAGCCCTCCTAATTTCTGTGCAGCTGGGTTCATCCCTGATTTGATTAATAGTAAATCTATATTATAGGTTCAAATGAACCTGTTATCAAATGGTTTAACTTTCTGCATACCATAGGGTATATTCTTTGATCTTTTTCTTTAGTCTAGTAGCTATTACTGAAACAGAACTTTTATCTTTTAGAAAAACATCCAATCTTGACTGAAGAATTTCCACTGCTGGAAAACGTATCATGACTCTGAAGTAATTTCTTCCAAAGGATAATTAACCACACAATGGAAAACTTGCACTTTACTCCTCATCTAAATTTTAGTACCTTTTAACCTCAAATCATCAAGCCTCTGTGCTAAACAGAAGAGCTCTCTGTTGTCACATTCCTATTCCTCGTAGATTTATACATTCACTGTGAGGAAATCATATTTAATTTACTTTTTAATAAACTCAATACTGCTTCTTATGTCTGTCTTAATGCAACTATCTTCCAGGCTTACCATCATTTTTATTTCTCTTTTCTGAGTAACCTCCATGTTTTCATTTGTCTTCTAGAACTGTAAAAAGAAAAATTAGACACAGAATGTCAGTAGTAGTTGCAGAGGTGCCTAAGAGACAATAACCAATACTTTCAATCATACATCCCAAAATTCATCTTTTTTTTTTCTGTGGTTAAAGCTCATCTTTTGCACTCCAGATGTCCTGACCTCTGATTTCCACAAGTGTGGGAAACTTGACTGCGTAACTTACAGTTGTGTGAAACTCTATTCATATTCTACCAAGGCAGAGGAAGCCCAGGACCATAAATGAGTGCCCAGAGCAAAGTAAGAAGTGGGCAAATACACAGCTTTCCGATAGTCTCCAAGCCACCACTCGTCTTTCCCTCAGGGAGTTTAAAATTGAATGAGATATTTGTGTTTTTACTGACCATCAATGAATACTTTTAGCTTTTACAGAATCCTTTCACAGCTGGTTCTATTGGTCTGTGACTTCATTTGAAGAACCAACTCTGTTTATTTTTAATCTGAATCCTACTATACCTCGTTACGAAAATAGATTGTATCTGTATTGAAAGAGATACTGAACTGGCAATCTCTGTATATCCTGCTCAGTGTCATTCCTAACACTGTAGACCTCTATCATATCCCTTCAGACACCCCTCTTCTAATCTTAAAAAACCCTTGGATTATCTTTGCTGCTCTAGCTCTGAAAATTTTCCAGTGCTGTAGTAACCTCCCTGAAACTGAGGCTGCAGAACAGCACAAAGTTTTTAAGGTGTATGTGAACTGTGGATTTATACTGACATTCTGTGTTACCTTTTTTTCCCCCAAGTAAGTCCTAATATTCCATATGTTTTTGACTGCCTTTTACCCTAATCTCAAGATATCCTTTCTAATTTATAATGAATCATGGAATCATGTAATATCTTGGGTTGGAAGGGACCTCTAAAGGTCATCTAGTCCAACCCCCCTACAATAAGCAAGGACATCTCACACTAGAACAGATTGCTCAGAGCCCTATCAAGCCTGACCTTGAATGTCTCCAGGGATGAGGCCCCCACCACCTCTCACAGAATCACAGAATCTTAGGGGTTGTAAGGGGCATCGCAAGATCATCTAGTCCAACCCCCATGCCAGAGCAGGATCACTTAGGATCACACAGGAACGCGTCCAGGTGGGTTTTGAATGTCTCCAGAGAAGGAGACTCCACAACCTCTCTAGGCAACCTGTTCCAGTGATCCACCACCCTCATATTAAAGAATTATTTCTTAATGTCCAACCCAAATCTACCCTTCTCTAGCTTGAAACCATAACCCCTTGTCCTATCGTTTACATGCCCTCAGTTTCCTATTCTTTGGTCCTTTTGTCAAAATCCTTATGGAGTCCTGTTAGACATAGCTGCTAGATCACCATTGCTGCAAGCTTGATAAGTTTGGTAGGGTAGGACATCTCTAGCAGATTCATGGTGACTCTGAGTATATCATATTCTTACAGTAATATATTTAGAGAGATGTCTGCTAGTTCTGTTTTTTATTACAGTGTACCAATTTATCCATCACAGATATTTGGCTAAAAGGCCTTGGATAAACCTTGAACTCTTTTCCAAGCTGACGTTTCATTTGCTGTTTCTCAGGTCATTCATATCAGGGCAGTTTGAAGCAAGAGGGTACATGCCACTTCTAATGAATCAACTATTGTACCCTTTTTCCTTTATAACACAGTTGAATACTAATAACATCAATTTCTTATTGTTCACAATATCAGGTTTTTTTAAATAAAACCTTCTACAGTGGCTTCAGTTTCAGAAAAATCCTCTGAAATATCTACAATGGAAGATTCCTGTTGGAATATCTTGTTTCTTCCAGAATTAATACCAATGCAAAGAACCCAGATGGCTTCTCTGAAATGTCTGTATCTTCACTGTGTATTCTTTTGCTATCTGCAAACACTCATACAAAGCTCACAGTACTTGACTGCCTAATTTACTGGTCCACTTACAGCAAGCCACATTAGTAGTTTGTCACCTGGGCTATCCAGTATCACTTCAGTCGTTACGCCGTTTGCACACTTATTAATAACTCAATTTCTTACTATGTCTGCATTATTTAACACCATAGAATGAAAATAATCTTAACGTCTTTCTTCTTTGGTAGTAGTTTTACTAGTAGAAGAGATGAAGTTGTATATTATATGCACTTTGAACATTATTTGTTTGGTTTATTTTAGGGAGGTAATCCAACAGCTACTGTCATCTCATTGTGTTGTTTGAGAGATTTCAATCTGGCTGAAGAAACTTGTCAGTTGGCCATCAGGGATCTTGGATGTCTTGAAGTGTTAATTAATCTACTTGATACAGAAGAAATTAGATGTCAGGTAAGTAGCTTTGTTGAATAGAGCAACGAATGTGCCTTTTCTATTAGAATATATTTTCAATTTTTGAAGTTATATAGTATAAAGAAAATTGATTTCTTTTCTTATTTTGCTACTTGTTCTATTTCGAAAAATCTACCTATTTGACTTTCAGTTTCCTGCTTTTCTTTTGATTAAATGTAAAAGATAAAGCATTTTAAATATTTTTTCTTTTCATGTATACTTAAATGCTGTTTAACTTCTGTTTTCTTCCATTGTTTAGATTGGTTCATTAAAAATCCTGAAGGAAATTAGTCAAAATATACTGATCAGACATGCAATTGCAGATCTTGGGGGTTTAGAGATCATGGTGGACATACTGGACTCTCCAGATGAAGAAGTAAAATGTTTGGCAGCTGAAACGATTGCTTATGTTGCTAGATTTAAAGATGCCCGAAAGACAGTAAGGCAGCGTGCAGGCATCAAGAAACTGGTAAACAGAAACTGAAATGTGTACCCTTCTCATAGGCATATTTTTGTCCAAAAAATTTTTTGTCCAACCGTGTTGTTTACACGGTTCTTGTAGTGTTTACCATCATTAAAAATCAGTGTAGTATCAGACTTCCTTGTAGGTGATTTTTAAAATGGTGTTTCTTTTAGGTTGGGCTGTTGAAAGGTACTTCAGTGGCATCAACCAATCTAACCCTATGCCAAGCGAGAAATACTGAAATGGCACGCTGTGGTGCCTTGGCACTCTGGAGCTGCAGCAAAAGCACCAAAAATAAAAAAGCAATCCATGAAGCTGGTGGCATTCCATTACTAGCTAGATGGCTCAGATGTTCAGTTGCAGACATCTTAATTCCTGTAGCAGGGACACTGCAAGAATGTGCCTCAGAGGTAGGTGAACACATATAGCTAAGTTAATTCTAATCATTGTCTAAAAGGAAGCATTATGTTTTACTGTCATTTAAACCAGGTCAGTTATCCCATCAGGAAGTATGTGTTTGTATGGTCAAAGTGTTTTTGAGAAGGTCGCAGCTTGTGATGAAGTAAAGACCACATACTTTTAATGAAAAAGTAGGAGTAGTTTGTGAAAGAAAATATATAGACATCAAATCCTTAATCAGTTTTGATTTATTTCTGATTTTTTTCATAATTCTTCATAAATTTAGCAAGATACTATGTTTTGGTTAACCAGAACATTTAAATTCTACAAAACTAACCTGCAGGTGTGGCCAAGAAAATCCAATTATGTGTAGGACAGTGTTTTACAATGTCCTTGTGAAGTGGGTAAGATGTTGTCTGATCAATGCTAAAATGAGAAAGGAATATGTATTTCCTTGGCAGGTTTCACATCTTTGAGTATATTCAGTTTTTAAATTTAAATACAAGTATTTTTGCTATTTCCATATAAGATGAGTGGTTGTTTCTCCTTTTGTGGTATCATATTTGAAATTAAAGTGTATTGCACTGAAGTTTGAAAAATACCTAAGTCCTCTTGGCGGTTTTTAGACATTGAAGACATGTCAAAGGATTCTGCATTATAAAACAATTTGTATTTCCAAAATTAACTTCTTAATTACACAAGTTTATGCATGCTCCATGAGACAGCAACCTGGCAGATTTATAGCATCATTAAGTCTGTATTGAGAAGGTGAAGTTTTTGAGAGTTTCTTATCTGGCCAAATTTGGAAATTACTAAACATATCTCTTGCATAGATGTTTCCTTTCTCTTTAATAATAGCCCCCTGCTACAATGCCTGTGGGTTAAAATTTGGAAGAAAATATCACAAAAAATGGTAATTCTAAGAACATGTTTTTCTAGCCTTGTTCTGGGAATGGATCTGTTGTTTTGGCTGCTGGCTGTCAATGGAGTGAGTGGGTACTTCTTGAACCCATTTTGAAGCGCCTTTCTTTCCTGGCTCTGAACAAGGAGTCTGGACACCTTTCAGAATATTCCGAGTTCTGCTTAAGCCAGGCAGCTACAAAATTTGCATTACAGCACCTGGTTTTACAAGAGATTTGAAGAGCACTGTAGAAAATTAATCTGTTTTACTAACTTTGACAACAGGAATAGTATTTTCAAGGCAATGTGGATGACTTTTGCTTAAAAAAATACAAGACTCCTTACTATCAAAGCCTAGAATTATAGCACTCTTATTATTTTGCCTAGTTAATATGCAGACTTTAAAAGATGCAGTTTATCTTTTTAGCAAAGTTACAAACTTGCAATAAGGACAGAAGGAATGGTTGAGTACTTTGTGAAAAATCTGAATAGCGAATATGAGGAGCTACAGCTGCATTGTGCAAGTGCCATATTTAAGGTAATTGTATTATTATAGTCAGTAGATCAGAGCCAGAATTAGCCCTTTGTTTTCATGTGGTTGTCAGTTTTAATACTTCTTAGTTTTACTATTTCTCTAACGTGTAAGAAATCACTTAATAAAAATGTTGATAGTCTTTGGATAACTCTTGCAACAATATTTTAGCTGTATATTTACTACTATAATTAAGTTCCTAATTGTTCTTCTTGTGTGCAAGGCCTAACCTGCACAGGTAACCAAGGGAGAGAGGCCAAGCATTCTGTGCAAAGAGCTGCTTTTGTTTTGCTGTTTGCCCACAAGGTGGATGATGTGGCAGTACAAGCAGTGCCTGTACAGTAGCAGTTTAATGTCAAACTCCCTGAATAAGTTATTAGCATTTTCAGATACTTTAATAAAATGTGTTTTCTTCTGTATTAGTTTTTACTAGTTGCAACATCATATATGTATTTAATTTTTTTGCTTAGTGTGCAGAAGATAAAGTAACACGTGACCTGGTTAGACAACATGGAGGTCTACAGCTACTGTCTGCTCTGCTTGATAACTCTGAAAACAAACAACTTTTAGCAGCTGTGACAGGAGCAATCTGGAAATGTGCAGTCAGTGGAGAAAATGTGTCAAAGTAACAGCTTAATTTTATACAAATTTTTTACATTATGATGTTTTGATTTTATGGCTCCTATTTTAAAAATTGTTGTCATTATTCTTCAAACCATACTTATAATCAGGTGGGCTTTCAACTTAGATTTTATAGTACTTGAAATATTGGCACCTGACCTAGTCTGTGTACAGTGTAGACAGCGTTAATTTCCTAGAATCTTAAGAGTCAGTGGGAACAATTGGTGCCTTTAAAGAATAGTTAAGATGTAGGACACTGAGTCAGAAGTTGTACTAGGACATACTACATGTTTGACATGTGAGCATATCTGATAACCCTGCTCTTCTCTGTAGCTTACAAATCAGAATCATTGCTGCATGGTGGAGACAGTTGTTAGCCCATTTAGCTTTAATGTTTTATGTTAAGAGAGACAAAAGCAGGTTATCTCTTTCTAGGGTAGGTACGTAATACACATTAAATCCACCTACTTTAGAAATATACTGGAATCTAGGATCATCTGGACACCCAGCTTCTAATTGAATGGAATTAACTGATGAGAGTCCTACCACAAGTACCTACAACCTCTCAGTATCAGAGTCCTCCGTGATTATCTGAGAATGTCACAGCAGGAGTTACCACCCTCCACCTTTCATGGCACAGCTTAATGATTGAGAAAACTCAATCCCCTTATCTAAAATTAATCAGATTCATGCACCTTACCACAAAAAAAAACCCATACCAAAACTGATCTGCTGGAGTATGTGCTGGGTTTCCTACTGAAGTTGTGCTGCAGATATGATAAATAACTGCTGGATAAAACTCAGAAATAATTCCAGTAATAAAGATTTACAGCCTGACTTTTTACTCTCCTAAATGAGCTCCCAAAATGTTGGTATACAGAGCCATGGTCTTTACATACTCTACTGCTATCCTACTGCTTTTTGCATTTTTGATTGCACAGCAACCTGCTTTTTCAGAAAGATACATCCTTCTTTTCTGTGAGCTTTGGGCATCTGCACAGAGGGCCCTTGGTTCTGGATCAATCAGTGATGAGATGGACTGAATGGCTCTCTATCCTAGTAAACTAAAGAAGGCCAAGCCTGTCATGGTTCAGGCACTGTGTTGTGATTATCTGTACCGTTTAGCTGCTATTACAGTCCCTTACCCAGTTTGGCCTGTGCCAGCAAACACTCTCCCAGACAATGCCCAGACACTCCTTGGGAACAGTGCAGGCAACAGATTGTTTCCATTAGGCAGAATGGGTGAGGCCACCCTGAATTGTGGGGATAGGAGATTTTAGCCATATGGATGCTATGTTGAGCTTCTTGTCCTCAGGGCCAGAGAATGAGTCCTTGCCTGTTTTATTTATTAATGTAGCTGTAGCCAGTAATTCTGTCCAAATGCAGAGTTTTGCTGGGCTACTCACATATCTTTGGCAAGTGCTTGACACTCTACAAAGGTTACTAGCCAGGCACAGCTCCAGGCTTGAGCTGAATTAATGTTTTATGTAGTGCTGAGGCTGAAGCAGTAAACCGTATTCAAACTCAAGATGGGAGGGCTCTACAGAAGAGGGAGGGAGGATGTTATGAAACACGTATCTACTGGATCTGGAGGGATGAGCTTGAGTCTGGCGAGAACCTAGAACTAAGAAATCCTGCTGCTTCCTGCAGTGCCACCTAATTGTCTTCAAAGGACTCCCCAATACTTCCTGTACCTGAAAAACATGGGGCTGACTCAGCAGTGAGCTGATATCCTCGAATTCCAGTTTGGTGTGAGCAGCCATCCTGCTTCTGGACACAAGATGGCTGAGCCAGCAGCTCTGTCAGGGCAGCTGCTGTTGCAGAGCCAGCTCAAATCTTTCTGTCTGTGAAGCAGCTGATACGCAGCACAGATACAGCAGCCAGAGAAAATCAGGGACTTGTTTTGGTTTTAAATCATTTGTTTGCTTGCTTTATTGCTCTTTTTTCATGTTGAAGTTTTTTTTCCTGAAAAAAAATATGTATAGGGATACTTCCAAATTGTAGTGAATGGAGAGAGGAAGATCCCTATTTAAGCAAAGGCTTGAATGATTAAAAAAAGAAGCTCCTCATTTCTCTGTTGTTTTACCTGTGATACTGATAAACCAGAAATTAACTTTTATTGAAACAGTGCTAGTTCTGCCATCAAAATCTCAAAAATACTATTTTTTTGTATGAAAGAAAAGCCACATGTACATTGTATTTGTAGCTCTAGTAGACACATCAGAAGCTAGTGACTGTGGGGAAAGCTCAAATGAGAACTGTGTACCCTCTGAGAAATTACCTCTTTAGTGGAGGAACGATGTGTATTTACACAAAGGTATAAATCAAAGTGCAGTTATTAGATAATATACAGGTTAGATCTAGCTTGATATACCAAGTGGAATTGTTCAGGTGTAACATAGAAAATATATGAAAAGAAGATACAGTAATTTTTAAGTGTTAAAAGTCCTCTAAGTTCTGCACAGGAAAAAGTACTGGAAGTTAGGATGCTGCAGTACTTGCCAGTCTTCCAGTCTGTTTTTAGCTATTTATAAATGTTGCATTCACATGTACATTTTAAAAAACCCCTCACAATACTCTGCAGATTCCTAGATAAGCTAAATTAGAGAAATGTGTTAAAAAGCATACGGTAAGTAATTATGGTGTATGTCACACATTTTAGAACTGGTTGGAATGGTTTACCTGTCTCATAATTGCTTTAACAAGATAATTTACATACAGAAATTAAACATTGTACTTCAATTTCAATGGTAATTTACTGAAGATAATAACTTTGATTCCATTGCTGTCTTCTAGATTTCACGAATGTAAAACTGTAGAATCTTTGATAGAACTGCTTACTGATCAGCCTGAAGAAGTCCTTGTAAATATTGTTGGAGCACTGGCAGAATGTTGCCAAGAGCCAAAAAATCGATCTATTATCCGTAGATGTGGTGGAATACCACCTCTAGTGAAGTTACTTACTGGAACTAATCAGTCACTACTGGTGAATGCCTCCAGAACAGTGGGAGCTTGTGCAACAGAGCCTGAAAATATGATGTAAGCCATTCATGTACATAGCATTTTAAATATTGAAAAAAAAATGTTGTACTTCTGACACAAATGTATTGGATTCTCATCTAGCTTTAAAAGACATTTTATGTTTTGTTTTCCACAGGGCTGTGTGGATTATTTGCATCCTATTGTAAAATGTGCAGTATATATTAAAAAAATTGCTAAGGAAATATGTAGACCATAAAGCTTTTGTGTTTTGGGGATGCAATCAGATAAACCTTTAGTAAATTGCTTTTTATTGAAGTTAAAATTTCAAGTTAAAGACCACCATTTAAATTTGCTTTATGATGGGTACCTGTCTTGCCTTCTTCTTTTACATCTGTTCTCAAATCATACATAATAGCCTAAGTTAGCAAAAGTAATTCTAAAAGGAAATGAGAGCATTTAATGTCATGAAAACTAATTTTTAAAATTTAAAAGAGTATTTTTTGTATTTTAACTGTTTTGTCCCTCTCCATCATTCCTCTTATGAGCTCAGACTTTTTTGACCCTTTTCTCCCCTCTTACTCTTTTGGAAAACAACAACAACCCCCCCCCCTGTCTTTTTACTGAAAGAGTTGCTGCCCTCTTTGGTTTTGTGTTGTAGATTGGTACAATTTACAAAGATCCTTGAGTTTTATGATTAAGTGTTTCAGTTAAATGTTGAGATAGGCATTTGCTGTGCTTACTGTTCCCTTACAGGGATATTTACCTCAGGATTCTTTGCATATTTTCCTCCTTATACATAAGGAAGGTCAGAAAGAGAGTTTTATTAAGCTCCTCCTGTTCTGATTTGCATAATTCACTTGATATTCATATAGCAGTGCAGGGGATTCTTTTCCTGAATAGGACTTTTGTTTTCATGCTTTGGCTGTCACCCAGTGGCAAAAGGCTAGATGGTACACAACTGTAAACATGGGCTGTATGAACAGTTAGTCATGTAGCATAAAACTATAAACTAATGAAATCACTTTCAGAACATATTTCACTAAAAATCATCCTTTCGAGTAATGTATGAACCTAACAGAATTAACACTGTAAATCAACTAAGAGATTTAAATGCCAGTAAATGTAAAATATTTATATAAAACCTCAAACATAATCCAGTACTCAGGACTGTTACTTGTAGTATCCAGTATGGATAGCTTCATACTGGAATGTGATCAGTATAAGCATGAAAAATAACACAAATTGCTGCTAAATTGCTAAATTGTGATACAACAAAATCCATCTTGTTTTTAGCAAGGAAAAAGTACAGGTTGTTTAGGACAAAGTTTTATAGAGTGGGCAAAGGAATAAAATATCAAATTCAGTTCATATGAAAAACTTCTCTCTTCAATGTTCTCAGCATGTAAAATGTTTGTTGTTTAAATATTATAAAACATTAACAAGTAAGCAAGATATTTGAGCAAAATATACTTTTTGCTACCATTAAAAAACATTACACAGAATTAAATATTATTAGCAAGACTGTGACATGTAGCTGATGTATTATGCTTGTTAGACTTGTAGTACTAGAAGAGATAATGCTGCTGTCTTTTCCTTATTCATCCAGGTGTGGATAAGTTTGATACCAGCAAAATATTAAAAAACAATTGTTAGTTAAAAAGTGCAAATGTTCAGATGTTTATAAGATTTAGTTGGTTGAGTGCTCTGCCTCCTGCCTCTCACAGGGTTAAGAGCACTTAAGAGCACCCCTCTCCTTTCCCCCCCCCC